AAATTGTATTAATATAATATATATATATCATTATTATCAAGACATCGACAAAACACGATTAATAACATAAATGGAATATTATGATTTTCTCGTTTGTTATTGTCGGTCAGGATGTCTTGGCCCGCTATGCGTCTATATTATGACAGTTTTTCAGCCCATTTTCGTGGAAGTGAGCAGGGAAGTGGGTATGGAAGTGGGCAGCACGAGTATGTATTATGTAAGCAGATCACTCGCGCTGATCATGCTCCTCGCATTGTCGCTCCCGTCAAGAGCGGTAAATTGAGCAGTGCGAGCAGCAGGTTAACCGGCGAGCTCTGCCGGTTGGGTTGCTGCTAGAGCTGCACAATGTAAACACACTCACTGCCACGACGTTGCAACAGAAGTATTTTGGGAATTAAATACGGCAGTGCGATAAGCAGCGGCAGTGGCTGAATGTAAATCGGGTATTACGCGTAAAGTATTTCGTCCTGAATGTACCTCTATACGGTTATATACGGTTATATTTGTGTGTGTTTGTTACGCGGGACAAAAACCGTACCGCCAAACCGTCCGACAGACATCAAATATGGTATACCATGGTTTCGATGGCGACTTTCCGGCGGACGGCGCGATCCCGTCCGTCGGTCGAATACCGCGTGGACCGCGGCAGTACGAAGTCGACCGGTACACGACCGCGGATTACGGAATGAGTCAAATCAACATGTTATGTCGATATCCCGCGATAATCCTCCTCGATCAATTAATGTTCGTCACTCCGACTGCTCGCGTATCCGTGTGACGATTAATAATAATGTGTGCACAGTTCGAGTGCAGTGAGAAAGAGTGAAACTACCAACGACAATCGGTCGGACGAGGGTCTTAGGTCTTGCACGCGTCCGCGTATCTCTGATTCGACGAAACGTTTTGCTCGTTTCCGAGGACGACCCCGTCTAGGTAAGTCGCACGAAAGTTCACCGTCCCGTGAGGTACAGCGAGCAGTGCTCGAGCACTTAATTTTGAAATACTCCTCGTGCCTACGAACGTACACGATTTCATCCACACGACATCACGGCCGTTAGCTGTGTAATAGATAGGTACTTTTCACAGGTAGGTACCTATAATTATAATTCGTAATGAGTCTATGATGTGTTAAAGTACTTAGCGACAAATTGGTACTTGAGCCCGCCACTCGCGGATTTCGATTTTTTTTTTTTTTTTTTTTGTTTTGATTTTCCCTCAGACGTATAAAAATACTTTAATATTCTATAATATTTTATATGTCTGTAGCTTTTCCACTTTTCAACAAGTTTAGAACGATTAGTGCAATCATTTCAAAGTTACATTCTCGTTACATTTTTTTTGAAATTTGTTATAATATACCGTATTTATGACGTGATCGAAATACCACCAAACTGGTAAATTATTTATTATTTATTACGGAAACGTGTGTAGTAGATCTCGATCCTGTTGATTTAAATCATAAATGAATAAAGTAATTTGTAAAATATCAAATTAAATATAACCGACCGCGTGTATCCGGTATGTTTGTAGGGACTATGGAGGGGGAGTGCTTATCATGAGCATAGATTGTTTTCACTGAATTGTATAGACGTGTTCAGTGATTGTTTTTATCGATGTAATAATAAATAATTTATGTAATATGATCCAAAATTATTATAATTATATATATAAATATATTACAGAGATTTACATTTACCGTTGATTATCCTCTGCTATAAAACAAAACGCATAGCCATTATCAGTCATCAGTTATCGCCCATCGGTAATCGGAAATAAAAAATATAAAACTTCTTAAATTATAAAAGACAGTAGCCAGGTTAGGTACCTATATAGTATATTATAATACCTTAATATAAACAGTCGCTCTGCTGTACAGCAGGTTACAAGTGGGTCGCTGTAATAGATGGTGTTACATTTGAATTCAATGATATAATATCATTGTATAAGAAAAAACGATTCTGAGCGAAAACGGTCAGTCAGCCTATGATATTACTATATAAGTATATTTGATGATATTACCTACTGTGAATAAAGTAATTTATATATTTCCCTATTTACGTGGACCCTTGTTTTAAATTTTCAATCCTTAGCTATAAAAGTATTACATTTTATACATTTTTAACTACAACATAATTATTCAATTTTAAATATGATAAATGTTGTCAAAATTCAAACTTTAAATGCATATAAAAAAAAATTGTGCATATACATTTTTAATATTTTTCAACCGCTATTGTTACAATATATCAGGAGCCTTGCATTAAATTTTCACGCTTTTTTACCCAACAAATAAAATTTCATTGATATTTATAGAAAAAAAACTAAGGAAATTTAAAACTGATAATGTCCGTAAAGAGCTCAAAATAGTCAAATTATTTTCAAATTTTTATGGTATATAGAAAATGAAAATATAAGCATTCAGTAAAATTGTCAAATATCTACAGTTATTCGTTTTTGAATAACAATAAAATAACAAAACCATGAGAAATCGAGGAACATCCAATATTGTAAAATTAAGAACTTAAACGCTCATAAAAATTTAATTTGATTTGCTTGTAGACATTTTTTTTTTGATAAAGGTAGATAATCGTATGAGTAATCTTGTATTACATTTTCAAATCTTAGATTTAATAATAAAAAATTTTAGGAATTCTCAAATCAAAATAATTTGCTAATTTTCGTGATTTTTCCGTATTTTGTCAAGATTTGAACTTAAAATACTTATAAAAAAAAGAATTTTTAATATTTTTCAACTGCTATTGTAACAATATAGTAGGAGCCATGTATTAAATTTTCAAGCTTTTTTACCTAACAAATAAAGTTTTATTGACATTCATAGAAAAAAATACTGATAAAATTGGAAACTGGAAATGTTCTTAAACAGTTCAAAACAAATTAAAATGTTTTTAAAATATTATCGTGTATAGAAAATGCAAATATAAACTATCAGTGAAAATTTTATGTATTTACGTTCATTTGTTTTAGAGTTGAACCAAAAACCAAAATTGAGTTTATAGAAAACCAATTTTGGGTAAAAATTCCCGTTTTTCGAAGAACTGTCCAAATATGTTCAAATAAAAAATTTTAACCGCAATATTGTCTTTAAACATGAGCCAAAAATTGTTAAGTTGTTAAAATTGCTAAAAATGACAATTAAAAGTTATGTTTTCAATTTATTATCAAGTGTATGAAACAGAGTTTGCACTTAAAAAGCATTTCCTGCAAGTCAATCTTATGGGATTTCTTAAAAAAAAATGCATTTTGCATTCAAATCTAAGCCTTAGTAATAAATAATAATAATGTTGGTTAGTCTAATACAAAGTTAGAAAAAATAATAAATAAATAACTAAGAACTTACAGGGCCCCCACAAGGGGGGGGGGGGTGGCAGTTGGATCTGGAGTTTAAGGACTCAGATATTTAGGGACACGTTGAAATAAATTTGTAGTTTTTGACACTTGATAGGAATACTATTTTTATGGAGCCGCACAACATTTAGTACAGCAAATTTTGATTGTGGTGGGGTGGCTGGGACTTTTTTGCTATTATTATTTTGTTTTATGCATAAGCGAAATGATTAACTTTTTTAGATCTGAGCGGAGGGAAAGTATGTATTGTATTTACAATAATTACGTGTGTTTTTTTCGTCTCATCAACATTTGGGGTTGTAAAAACTAAAAATGCTCCCAATTATCGAGATTGGCATTCAGCACTTTTTTTGATAGAAAAAAGTATCTAGTTTGTTCTTTTGAGGTCAAAAATGAAAATTCCATGTAGTTTTAGAAGGCATCATGAAAAAAAACTGGTATTTTTACGCAAAACCAATTTTAGAAAATCCATTAAGTTTTTTTTGGAGTAACCATCAAAACTATTAACCGTAGGACTCTTGAAATTTTTTACCCAAATTTTGGTATTAGCATTTTCCATGAATGGTAACATTTTAGAAAATTTTTGACTCTTTTTGAGCTAGTTATAGCTATATAGCCTTAAGACACTTTTCAAAATTTGTAAATTAAGTTACCACAACAAATATAGTCATACTCGCACTATGACCGGTTATTCGGGAAAGGAGCACAGCAGCCATTAACGTCATGTGCTGTATAGGTACCTATCAGTACCTAAGTTGGTAGATGTGAGATTATTTTTTTTTTGGTTTACAATATACTCAATACTCATGTTCATACATCTTATACATCCTATACCTATATAGTAATATACCTATTTTATTAATTTATCATATTATTATTAATATATGATTTAAGAGTATGTCACACCGTCATATTGTGTTGCCTCCATCTTACACACCTACAATATAGACCAAACGCGTTTACGCAGTCTGAGTATAAATCGCTCAATTTTAGTTCTAGAGTAAAAAATACCTATAATTTGTATGATATGACGTAATAAAAAATGTGTTTTTATGTATAATAATAGGCTATTATTAAAAATAATGTAGGTATTTTTAATTTGTAAGTAGATCACTCGTCCTGAATTCACAGATCACTAAACCGTGGTACACCATGTGCTACACGAATGCCAAATTGTCTAAATACCTAACTATAATAAGTATAGATTAAATATTATATTAAAAAATATTAAGTATTTATTATATATATAATTTTTAGTACCTCAGTACTCATTCGGTTTTTGATTAACATCAGCTTAACCATTTACAGAAAAAAAGTACAATTTTCATAAAAGAAACAGGTATCACCAATGGAACTTTTAACTTTAATAAAAATGTATTTAAGTATTTGAAAATATGATCCTTGTATACTTGGAAATGTTTCAAATCAAGATTTGAATAAATTCATTATGTACCTATTAAAGAAAAAATGAGAATGAGCATGCTTGGTGAATCACACTGTATGTCTACACAAACTAATGTCAATTCTTAAATGATATTATTTTGATTTCTGAATAGTAAAACTAAATCTAAATCTAATTCTTTTATTTTTTAGCATATTTACAACATTGAGTTTATAATTTAAATGTATTGAAAATGCTGAATATTTTTTTTTTTTCAGAACATATAGATCCTATTGAATGTCCAAATTTTTGTGGCAGATCATACAAAGGCAAGTTTCAAAAATCTAGTCTTAGAAGACATCTTATTTACGAATGCGGAGTTGTTCCTCAATTTCAGTGTCCTGAGTGTCAAAAACGATTTGCTGATAAGGGCAGTATGAAAAGACATGTATTGAACATTCATTATAGTAAAATATATAGTAATACAAATTAATATTAAATATATATTTTAGTATAAACAAGTTTCCAACAAAAATATAAGTACCTATGTTTAAATTTTTAGGTAAGGAACTTTTTTGTCTAATAGTGTTGTTGCATTAAATAAACAAAATTATGTAGCAGACTTAACTAAATTAATATTTTTTTAAATAAATTGTAGTTTTATACGATTATTTGTATTGAATGTTTATTATTCTGTATTTATTTTAGTTGAAACATATAGATTTAATCCTTGGTTAGTATCAAAATTAATTCAATGATAGATATTTATCATTCTTAAATTTGGTACCTATTTAACAATTTTAATTCCTACAGTTTTCAATATTTTAATTTTTTTAGTTGCTATAAGAAGCTAAGTCTATATTAGGAGTGATATGTGTATTACTTAAAAATTAGATTATGTTTTTTAATGTTACATTTGAAGTTTTACTTTCCTAAATGTTGATATTTACCCAATAATGCTGCAGTGTTATACAAATGTTAAGAAATGCATAGTAAAATAAAATACAGATAAATTGATTTATTAAAATTAAATAAATTGTTATTTTATCCTTTTTGCTGAATGAAAAAGTTAAAAGGCTAATATATTATTGTATAGATATTTGCTGGAATATCAAGCAAATCCTGATAAACCTATGGTCTTATAGTATTTTACCTTTGTGTTTGCTTGCTATATTTTGTAGTATTATGTCAGTACTCAGTAATATATTCCAGTATTTCAACAATTGTATTATTATTATACTTTTATAATCATCATCATAATTTGTGTAACAAATTAATGTATTATATTTTATATGTATGTATTCAATATTGTATTTATTTGCTTAAAATTTAAAATGTATCTTAAGTTTGTATATTGTATCTAATTTATAAATTGTAATTTCAGAACATATATTACCAAATCCTCTATTCTGTGAGAACAATTGTGGTCGATATTATACAGGAAAAAAACGTAAATCAAGTTTAAAGAGACATTTAACATATGAATGTGGTATCGATCCTCAGTTCAAATGCATATATTGTCAAAAATGTTTCACAGTAAAAACAAACATGAAGAGACATATTCTTTTAATTCATAGAGTTATAAGTCCTTGAATATGTTTAAGTATTTGATACATACAAACATTTTTTTATGAATGATTCAAAAACTATTATTCAGGTATCATCTGAAAATTTAAAAATATGTTTTTGTGAATAAATCAATTTTCGAGCACTATTCATAACTTGATACTTTGAAAATTAATGATATTCATATTTAGATTTGTACTATAGTTTTAGATTCAAAAGCATAATATTTTAACTTCATAATAACCATACCTAAGGTTTATGTTGACAATTTAAAAATTACTTACATAATATATTGTTTAAATTATAAATAATTTTAAATATATCATTAATGTACTATGACTAGGCAATTGTTATTTCTTACCATTATTTACTTGTTTACTAAGATAATATTTTAATTATGAAATAGTACATAAATTATATTAATAAAAAATTGTCCACTGTATGATGCTAAGATGTACAAGTTATTTTCAGTTAGGGAAAGCAATACAAATGTATAAACCCTTAAATACTTTTATATATATATATTGTATTATATTTACTTTCAAGGTATTATTAAATTTATAAATGTACAGTAGTTAAATTGGTAAGCTGAATTCCATTTTGAGATTAGTACCACGTGGTACATTGTTAGATTTTATAATTTTGTAATGGCCCCCCTCCCCTATTAACTATTTATTTTCAAACTTAGCTACATACTGCCATAGTGGTAGCTTAAAACTATTTAAATAGGATTTTATTATTAACTATTCTTTAAAGGTAAATGATGAAACAATGAAACCAATATTTATTATTGCATTTATCAAAACATTCTTTATCAATTATTAAATTATATCATGACTAAAAACAATATTTTTTTTTTCTTAAATTGGTTTTTATAAGTTATTTTAGTTATATAATTTTCCTTAATTACTATGGATCAGATTTAAACACAAATAATTAAACAAAAACTATAGAAATAATTGTGATTTATACATTTATTTTATTTCATTTCTATTAAAATAGAACAAACCTTATTTTACATTTTTATATATTGCTTTTTGCTTTTTTTTACTACTTATAAAACCTCGAAATCTGAACCCTACTTATATTATGTACTAATTTTATAATATTATCTTTGATTTGTTTGTATCTAGTTTATTTTTAAATATAATTTATGTGTTATTGTTAATGATTTAAACACTAATTTATTCTTTGCAGATTTGTTTGCTGGTCAAAGATTTAAGTGCCCAAAAGAATGTGGTAAATCGTACAAGAACAAATACACCCTTAAACGACATTTATTTTTTGAATGTGGTGGTAAAAAAACATTCTCTTGTAACGTGTGCAGTAAAAAATTTTCACAGAACACTAATCTGAAGTCACACTTGGCATTAATACATCAAATTATATCTTAAATAATTGTTATTTGAAAACCATTCAATTTTTAAAACATACAAATAATATTTATAGTATTAAATAGTACTATTAAATTAAAATAAAAGCTATAGTGATTAATAAGTTTTTGTTCTTTTATATCAGTAAGCAATTGACTTCGTAAGTCACTCGGTTAATAAACTCAAATGTTTGGGTCCCAATGTGAGTCAAATAAGCAGTGACTGCACTTACAAATAATATAAATATTCATCCAAGAAACCTTTTGATATTAGTAGAACATATTTTATTTTACTTATCAACTCATATAATATATGTATATTGTATACATTTTATAAACAATATACCTAATTAGTAAGTAGTAACTACATATCAATCATAATATAATGTTATTCATATATTCAAAATATGGTTTTTTTTTTTTTTATTACACTTATATATAAATAATATTAGTTATTTGTTAATAATAATTATTATAAGTGTACATACTGTACATTAAGAAATTAATAATACTATTTATATCCATTAATATTACTATTTTTTTTTTTTTTAATTATATTTACCTAGATTTTTACCCTGAAGTTCAATTAATAAATTGTTGAGCAATTTTTTGTAATAAAAACTATGCTTTTTTATTTAATTTTATTGCGAGTTGCATTATTATTACTCTTAGGATAAATCAAGTAGGCTGTGCACTTGTTTTGTGCTTAAATTATTTCAAACAATACAATTACAATAAATTTAAATAACAAGTAAAATTATGACATTGTTTATTAGTAAATCTGTTCAAAACATTGAAAATCTATATATTACAAAATATACTATATATATAAATTACCGAAGTTTAATTCAAATTTTAATTTCAGGGTATGATAACCACCAATCAAAGACAACTCGTTATTTTTGCCCTAACAATTGTGGTAAAAGTTATAAATTTTCTAACACCTTGAACCGACATATACAATATGAATGTGGAGATTTGCGGAGATTCCGTTGCCCGTGCTGTTCAAAGGCTTTCAAACAAAAATCAGCCATGCAAGGACATGCAGCTACCATTCATAAATGTCTTATTAAATAAATAAATATATAAGTATATGATATTATTTATTAGGTATACATTTAACTGAATGTTTTACATGCACATGTAATACTGTAATAGTTATATATTTTATTGATATACCTATACTCTGTTCAAAATAAGACCGGACCTCGGCGGCCGAGTTGTGCGCATGGGCGTGGCTTTGTTTCGTGGCAGAGCCCGACGCACCGCCGTGGTGGGGACGACGTTTCACCATATGTCTGACCGCCGCCGGACGAAAACTGGTCAGGTCCGGTCTTATTTTGAACAGAGTATATTTCTAGAATAATTAAATTTTTATCAGATTTAATTATAACAAACATAGGCCCCACCTAATCATCAAGAATAATTTTATTGTACCACAGCGTCCAAAAAAATTTGAATAATAATAAAACAATAATATTTTCAGAAGGTACCTACTATTTAATTGATCACAAATCAGCTGATAATCCAGTTACTGATTTGTGTATGTAATAATATGTTAATTCTGTAATTTGTACTTTATTTTTAAGTTGATAAGGGTTGAAGTAATGTTAGTGAACGCCTTTACTCAAGCTATCAAGCCTTGTAAATTTGATGTTTATTGTGTTTTCTATGCACAGATTGTAAATATTTGTTTTTCTAAATAAATAAAATAAAATAATTTACTTGTAATTTATACATTAATTCGTTTTTAAACCTATTTATTATGAATTATACTGTATGACATTTGTTATTTAAAATGTATTATTTACAATGGATTATAATTTTAGGTTAGAAATTATTATTTATTTTATATTATATTATATAAATATCCAATACTTAATTAAAATTAATAAATATAATTTAGTTATAATTGATAAAACATATTGTTTTACAAGAAGACTGTATTAAGAAGAAATCTGTTTGCTAAGTATTAAAAAAGTATTTGATTTTAATCAAAGTGGTTATAAAAATATAAGCAATTTACTGTGTTTTGGTTAATTTGATTTTATTGTGTATCTTAGATCAATTTATCAGTACTCAGTATGTGTACTGCAAGTTGTAACTTGTAACGTACAGTGTAAATTGTTTAAGTAGTTAATATAGTATCCCAATAAGTTGTATATGTATTAAATCAACCCTCATTATACATTCTATTAATATTTTATGTTTATAATTTATCTATGATATTAATCTAAATTAAATACTTATTTGTTAATTATAATTTATACATATTAGTTTCAACACTTAATAATTTTATTTGTTAAAAATAATGTAAAAGCCGCTTATAAATTAATAAATTATCATTTTAGATTCTGAGTGAAGCTATGAATGTATTGATTTTACAATGATTTGTGTTGTTTTTTGGGTGTAATCACCTTTTGAGACAGTAAATATGCTTCAATTATCTCCAACAGTATCTTTTCTGGTAGGAAAGTGAATCTAATTATACTTAGTTATAGACAAACCGTCTCCGCTCTGAATTGTTTTTTTGTATACAATGATATTATATCATTGAATTCAAATGTAATACCATCAATTATACAGTGACCCACTGGTAACCTACTGTACAGCAAAAGAAAATCCGCTTGCCCTCTTTATATATTATTTACTTGTACTTAAACTGAATGTGAGGTTAGGGTTACATTATTACTATAATATATATATATATAATTTCTTATTTTCACTATGCTGTATTGTGCTTGTATAATTGAACAGTTTATATCAGAGGTATTGAAACTGTGTCACGGGATTTGATAAAGGGAACCGAGTCAAAGAACTGGAAACCAAAATGAATTTAATATATAGTTATAATTATTATTTATAATTATTATAGGAATTATGGAAACTGTAACGAAACATTCGTGGATAGTTAATTAAATGGCAATTTAAAGTTTTATTTTTAGTACTTGGGCCATATTATTATTATTGCACTTGAAATTTTATACAGAACCATAATTTTTTTTATCGTTAAAAATTTGGGAGCTATTAAAATATTATGAATACCCAAAGCAGCCATAAGATGAAAAAGATTGAATACATCCGGTTTATATACATGGATGAAATCTAATTAATATATAAAACCAAATAAAATATAAATTTATAAAATTATAAAGTTCAAATATTATACAAGTATTAATATAATTTTTTTTTTTTCAGGAATGAATCGATATTATGTTTGTCCTTCCACAGAATGCAATCGTATATATAAATTAAAGAGCAGCTTAAACAAACATCTAAAATTTGAATGTGGAGGAAAAAGACAATTCCAATGTTATTTATGTCGTAAAACTTTTGCACGAAACAGCACTTTGAAAAATCATTTAGCTTTAGTCCATAAGTCAATAGCTCATTATAAATAGGTACATATCATGCCAGGAAAATAAAGATTTGTATAATTACATTTAAATCTTAAAGTATAATATAATATCTATTATACATTTTAAGCATAATATTGACTGTTATAAGTAGAGCTAGGATTTTGGTGACTTGCAATTTTTGCTATACAATTCTAACTAAATTTGTTTCGTGATATAACAATTAAGATTATGTAATTTTTATTTTGCATTTTTGTGTTAAATGCATTTTATTGCATTTTTAAGGTCATTTTTACGTAACATTACAAAATATTACGTTCATTTTGTGTATTTACACTAATTTTAAGCTTTTTTAATGTGTATTGTATGGGTAATTTTTATTTTTTTTTTGTGTTCAATATATTTTATTGCATTTTTAAGGTTGTTTTTAAGCAATATTACACATTTTACTTTCATTTTGTGTATTTAAACAAATTTTTGTTTATTTTAAGCTTTTTTAATATGTGTTGTATAGGTAAAATAATCATATTTATTTTCAAAATATGTTTTTTCGCTCATCCAAGTAAATTTTTTGGTAATTTTTTTTAGAAATTTAGGTCATTAAAATCGTAGCTCTAGTTATAAGTTACACTGAGTATTTAAATATTATGTATAATTGGATGTTCACATAGGTAAAATTATATTTCTGTGTATAGCTGTGAATATAAATGTTTAGTATTATAAGAATAAATAATGTAACAATTTGGCATCTTGACTAAAATTGAGTAAATCACATAATATAAGTGTTATACAATATGATAAAAACTAATGTTATGTTTGCATTTTGCATAATAAAATCCATTATTTCTGATAAAATTGGTTTAATTCTTTAGATTTATGTGTTCTATGTACATTTTATTGAACACAACTTACGTATACATTGTGAATATAAAATCATTTTATATTATCAATCAATCTAAGTATTTATAAACTTTTGTTTATTATAATTTATAATTATCTACTTAGTTAAAACATTTATAATTTTATTAATTAAATAAAATGTAAAAATAGTTAACACTTATCTAAATCATATAATTATAATTGTTATGCTGTTAACTCTTGTTAAACTATAAATAATACCATTGGTTGTATAATATAATAGTATTGTGTTCATGATTATTACATTCACAGGTAATTCACATAACTTATCTAATGATTTCAGATTTTCAGCTGATAAAATCAAAATAAGGAAATTAATCATTCATTACCTATTTCTTTATAATAAATGTGTAAATTATATAATAATTATACCTACACATTATGTAGAATATAAATTAACCATCATAAACTATTATAATAAACATAGTTAGATGGGTATATTATATTTTATTACTCATTTTCACTTTTCATGCTGCACAATGCTTTTATAATTATATTGTTTGTAAACAATTTATATACATAGATTACTGCAAAAGTCTAATTTGTATATGAAACTAGAATGTTATTTATAAAGTGATATAATAACATACCTACTGCAAGTATTAATATATTCTTTTTTTTTTCAGGTACTTTCGGATATTTTAACTGTCCTACTGTATCATGCAATCGTGTATATAAATTGAAAACAAGCTTGAATAACCATCTAAAAT